ATGTGAGGACAGAATCAGATATAACAGGCAGAATTGCAGTTAGTGATCATGAAAAGATTTCCCTCTCTCTTTATTGGTACCAGGAATCAAACTCAGGGCCTTGCACTTGCCAGGCTGGTGTTAGTCACTAAATTATATCCCCAGCCTAAGATTTCTTAAAAATAGCAAGGAACCATGAAAAATCAATCCAACAGCTGCCAGATGATGCAAAGATAAATAACAAGATTGATCAGTCAATGAAAAAATAGGAGGTAGTGCAAATGACAAAAAAACCCTGTTCAGAGCTGGGCATGGAGGTGCATGCCTCTAATCTCAGCATTTGGGAGGCAGGAGGATCACCATGAGTTTGAGACCAGTCTGAGCTACATAGTGAGTTCAAGGCCAGCTCGAACTACATAGCGAGACCCTGTCTTTAAAAAGCAAAAACGGGGCCGGGGATTTTAGCTCAGTGGTTCTGCTGCCTGCCTTGCAAATGCAAAGACCCAAGTTCGATCCCCAGTACCAAAACAAACAAACAAACAAACAAACAAAAACAAACAAACAAACAAAAAACCACCACCACACCAACAACAAAACCTGCTCACAGAAGTGATGCCAGAAAACTTCCCAAGCATGGAAAAAGAATTTGACGCAGTTAAGTGGGGCATATAGAATTCCACCTAGCCATGATCAAGAAAAATCTACATCAAAGCATAAAATGGTCAAGATTCCAAAAATTCAACCAAAGAGCAGAGTATTAAAAGCAGTTAGAGAAAAGAAACAAATCACCTACAAAGGAAAGCCCATCAGAATCGCAGCAGACTTCTCAACACACACACATTCTAGTCAAGGAGAGTTAGGAGTGAGGATTTCAAGCCCTAAAAGAAAACAACCTCCAGATTTTTGTACCCTGCAAAACTATCTTTCAAAATTGATGGAGAAATAAGCTATTTCCATAACCAAGAACACTTGAAGAAATTCATGACCACCACACCAGCACTCCAAAAGGTTCTGAAGGACATTCTACAAAGACAATGAGAACTATAGCTCCATGATCCCCAACAGAATGAATCCACCATGCAAGGCAAACAATTAAACAGGTGGGGGGAAGGAGAGCCAACAACGGGAAAATAACATGACAAGGATAATTCAATATATATCACTTATAACCATCAATATAAGTGGTCTCGATTCACCAATCAAAAGAAACAGACTGGCAGAATGGATCAAGAAGCAGGATCCAAAAATATGCTGTATATAAAAAACACATTCAATTTATTTATTTATTCATTTATTTTTGGTACCAGGGATTGAACTTGGGTCCTTGCACTTGCAAGGCAGGCCACTGAACCGCTGAGCTAAATCCCCCACCCGAAACACATTTAATTTAAAAAATTCATAAACTGAAAGTCAAAGGATGGGAAACAATACTCCATATGATAGGAACCTGGAGAAAAGCATGGGTAGCTAGTCTATAGACAAAGTGGATTTCATGCCAAGGCTGATTAAGAGAGACAAAGATGGTCACTACATCCTTTTTAAGAGAACAATCCAAGAAGAAGAGATAAAAAGCACTAATAGAGTTGTAATGGGGGACTTCAATACCCCACTGCCACAGACAGATCAACTAGACGAAAAATCAACAAATAAACACCAAAATTGAACCAAACTTTTGAACAAATGGACTTAGCAGATATCTACGGAGTGTTCCATCCCACAACATCAGAATACACATGATTCTCAGCTGCACTTGGGGCGTTCTCCAGAAGAGACCACACACCAGCTTACAGAACAGGCTTAAGTAAATGCAAAGGGTGGAAATTATCCCATGCATATTATCAGACCATACAGGATTGAAAATGGGAATCAGGGGCAAAAGATACCACAAAACTTCATAAACACATGGAAATTAAATAACACCCTCTTGAACAACCAATGAGTCACAGATGAAATTAAAGAAGAAATTAGACAGTTGCTATAATTACATGATAATGCCAGTACAACACACTAGAACTCATGGGATGCAATGAAAGCAGTCCTTGGAGGGAAATTTATAGCAGCGAATTCTCATATCAGAAAAATAGAGTAAGCTCAAGTAGACAACCTAATATTGAGGCTCAGTCTTTTAGAAAAACAAGAGCAACTCAAGCCCAAAGCTCATATGAGTGAGAAAATTACAAAGATCAGAGCAGAAATTAATGCAACGGAGACTAAGAAAACACAAAGAATCGAAGAGCTGGTTCTTTGGCTGGCCATTTAGCTCAGTGGCACGCCATGCCTGCCTTACAAGTGCAAGGTCCTGGGTTCGATCCCCTGTACTGGGAGAAAACAACAACAGACTCAAGAACAACAAAAGCCGAAGAGTGGGTTCTTTAAAAGATTAAATAAAATGACTAAATGTAGTATACCATATGAACAGAACCAAGGACAAAAACCCTATGATCATCTTTATTGTTGCAGAAAAAGCATTTGACAAAGTCCAATACCAGCTCATGATAAAAACTTACAGAAAATTGGAATATCGTCTTTATTTCAATCTGACAAAAGCCACTTATGGCAAACCAACAGCCAACATCATACTAAGTGAACAAAACCTGAAAGTTTTCACTCTAAAATCAGAACAAAATAAGGACGCCCACGGTTGCCACTCTCTTGTGGGTGTGGTACCGGGAATCAAACTCAGGACCTTGTGCTTGTGAGGCAGGTGGGGGCACCACTGGGCTAAATCCCTGGCCCCACCGCCCTTATTCAATATAGTTCTAGAAACATTAGCCGGAGCAATTAGACAAGGGAAAGAAACAAAAAGAATAAGGATAGGAAAGGAAGAAGTTAAATTATCATTATTGGTGGATGACATGATAATCTACATAGAAGGCCCCCAAAACTCCACCAAAAGACCTCTAGATTTAATAACCAAATTCAGTAGCATAGCTGCATGCCAAGTCAACACTTAAAATCGATAGCATTCCTATAACACAAATAACAAGCTCACTGAGAGAGAAATTAGGAAAACAACACCTTTCACAATAGCATCCAAAAAAAATATACTATCCAGGAATCAATCTAGTGAAGGAAATAAAAGACCTTTACATGGAAAACTACAGTGCTCTGAAAAGGAGATCGAAGAGGACATCAGAAAATGGAAAGACAGCCCTTGTTCTTGGGTAGGCAGAACCAATGTAGTGAAAATGGCCATACTTCCAAAAGTGTTGTACAGATTTATTGCAATTCCAATCAAAATGCCAATAGCACAGCTAAGCATGGTGGCACATGCCTATAATCCCAGCATTCAGAGGCTGAGGCAAGAGGATCGCATGGGCTACATAGTGAGTTCAAGGCCGGTCTGAGGGACATAGCAAGACCTTGTCTCAATCAAAAGCAAAACAAAACAAAATCTAAAACAAAACAAAACAAAAAAACCAAAAACTAATAGCATATCTCACAGAATTAGAGAAAATCCTAAAATTCATTTGGAGCCAGAAGAGACCTAGAAGAGCAAAAGCAATTCTTGGCAATGAAGGCAAGGCAGGGGGCATCACAATCCCTGACTCAAAATTATACAACAAAGCTACTGTGATAAAAACAGCACAGTACTGGGGAAAAAAAAAAAAAAAAACAGACCCAAGGATCAATGGAACAGATTAGAAGATGCAGAAACGACTCCGAAAGGAGCCAAACACCTCCACTGGAAGAAAGACGGCCTCTTTAATAAAAGCTGAAAAACTGGCTTTCGACATGCTGAAGATTGAAACTAGACCCATGTCCTTCACCATCACTAAACTAAAATAGAAGTGGATCGAAGAGCTAAATATTAAAACAGAAACATTAAATCTGCTGGAAATATACTAGGTAGAACTCTTGAAGATATTGGTGTAAGCAAAGATTTTATGAACAAAACCCTCATCACATAGGAAACATTACAAAGAATCAACCACTGGGATCTCAACTTATTAAAAACTTTTCCACAGCAAAAGAAACCACCAACAGAGTGAAGAGACAACCCAGTGTGGGGAAAAATATTTTGCCAGCTGTTCCTCAGACTAATATCTAAAATATATACATAACTCAAAAAAACCAGATCACCGTGAGTTCAAGGCCGGCTTGGGCTACATAGTAAGTTCAAGGCTAGCCTGAATTACATAATCAGACCCTGTCTCAAAAAAAAGTAGGCAGGTGTGGTGGTGCACGCCTGTAATCCCAGCACTTGGGAGGCTGAGGCAGGAGGGTTGCTGAGTCCAAGGCCAGCCTGGGCTACACAGTGAGGTCAGGGCCAGCCTGAACTACAAAGGGAGATCCTGCCTCAAAAAAAGAAAAGAAAAAGAGAAAGAAAACGCTGCTTCATCAGGATAGCACCTCCTCCAGGCAGGGGAAGAGAAGTCGGAGATTCTGTGCCACCTTCCATGTCACTCCCCAAAGCCAACAGAGTGGGCCCTTGCCAGCGGGGGCAATGCCAGCACAAATCCCCTCATGCGTCACTTTTGCTCCTCTGACCCACTCAGAAACCAGAAAACTTCCACTCGGTCTCCTCCCGCAGGCTCTGGTGCCCCATCTGGACAGCCCCGTGCCTGGCATCTTTGGTGATGCCTGTGCCAGTTTCCCAGCTTGCTCCTGCTGCCTGCCTGGCTCTTGTACCCACAAGAGCCCTGGAGGAGGCATCTGCCAGTGCCCAGGGCTGCTTCTGCCTCCAGTTCTCCTGGAGTGACAGTTGGTGTTGCTCTGCACCCATGCCTGGGGAGGAGGCTGGCGTATGGGATGCAGGGGAAGTCAGAGGTCAGAGCAGAGATGCCTGGTCATGCTGGAGCTTGAGACACATGCACTGGACTCTTCCTCTCTGTGGCCCAGGCAAGGCCCTCAGCTCCAAGTCCCAGGAAGTCCCCTGAGTCCTAGGCTAAGCCCTAGGAAGCCTCTCCCCCGCAGGATAATCTACCTCCCCTGAGGGACTCACTCCTGAAGGTGGCACCAACAGCAATTTCATGAGCCGGCAGGGCTGGAGATCTAAAAATGTCCCCCGGGTCACGTACCTGGAAGGGGACTGGATCGTGGCACATAGATGACAGGTTCATAGCTGACTTGCTGTTAGGAGGCCAGCCCTGGTTAGAGGCAGGTGGCTGTGCTATGACCTGGAAGGGTACACAGCCTTCTTGTTCCTGGCTCCTCCCTTCTATCTGCTTCCTGGACACCATGAGGTGAGCAGCTCCCCTTCGCTAGGCCCATCTGCCATGCAGTTTCTGGCCTGGAGTGGCTCACCGTGGACTGAACCCACAGAAACCGTAAAGTAAACCTTTCCTCCTTCAAGTTGCAGGTGTCAGGTACTTTATCCCGGGGACAGGAAAGGAACTAATACACATAGTGTGACAGTTGTGTGTTGTTTGAGCTCCCTATCACAAGACCACCGCTCCAGCCCATTTCTAGCTGGTTTGCACCCAGAGGCCTCACGGGACCTGGGAGCCAAAACCTGGGTACCCGGGCTGGTGGCCAACACACTCACAGCAGTCACGGTGGGCGACTTTGGCACGGTGACACCCCACCTCCCACACAGCCAGAGGCAGACTCAGCAACCCGCAGTGAAGATTTAGTGAGGACTTGCGTTGGGGGTTACAATGGGGTCTTCTCCATTGAGGTAGAGTTGGATGGTGGCTTAGAGCTGCCCAGTCAGTCCTCTGTGGGTAGAGAAAGCCTGCAGAATATCCCAGAGCTGGCTGTCCAGTCAGGACTTGTATACCTCCAGTGACGGGCCACTCTCTCCTCCACCGAGTAGCCCATACCAGTACAGGCATCGTCAGCAGCCAGACCTTTTCCTCAGGAGCCTTCGACTTGGAGGAAGAACAGACAGTGGCTTCAGTCCCGACCAGGGCAAGGGGGGTGGGTGGGGCTGGGAGGAACAGGAGTAGGAAGAGAAATAAGTTAAATCCAGGAGGGAGGAGCCACGGCAGGTGTCACCGGGCAGTCCGGGAGTCCCAGCCGTCCCTGGCTTGCTCCGGGAGTCACCGGGGAGGCGGCAGGCCAGAGGCCGGGTTGTCGATGGCCCTCTGTGTGCCAGCGTGGTCTTCAGGGTTGAGGCTGTAGGGAGGCGGGGGCTCCGTGGGAGGCAGAAACAGGGCGGGCTTCAGAACGACCTGCAGGGAAGAGGACCCCAGATCGTCCCAGGGCCTGGCCGCCAGCCCCCGCGCTGGCCCAGGCCTGTCACCCGCCAGCAGAGGGCACAACGGCGCTGGTGGCAGGGACTGGGATGGGCAGACTCACCTCGCTGTAGG